GTTAAAGAACAGGCTTTCTGTCTTTCACTATTGAGCATGATGCTAGTTTTGTTATGTGGGTCCTTTTATTTTGAGGTAGTTAATTATTATTCATCATTTATCATGTCTTTTTATCATGAAATGCTAACTCCTAAATGCTTTTGCTACATCAACTGAGGTGATCGTGTGTTTTTTTTTTTTCCCTATTCTTTTACTGAGCAGTATTACATTGAATGATTTTCATATACTGAATCATCTAAGGACCTTATTCTTCTTCACAGTGGATAATCCTTTCAGTGTGTCGTGTAACTTATTGTTTTATTGATAAATTTTTCATCAGTTTTCATTGAAAATAGTCTGTGGTATCCACTTATTGTCTTTGTTTTGATTTGGTATTAGGATAGTTCTGGCCTCCCAGGATGAGTTTGGAAGGATTCCTTCCTCTTGAATTTTTTGTGAGATGTTTCGGGAACATTGGTGTTAATTATTTTTAAAGGTAGGATAGAATTTTGCATTGAAGTTTTCTGTGCTTTCTTTGTTGAGTGGATTTTGATTAGTCATTTAATCTCCTTGGAAGTTATAGGTGTATTCAGATTTTTTACCTCTTTATGATTCAGCCTTGGTAGATGATGGCTTGGAAACTATTTTTAGGATGGATGGCTGTAAATCCCTATCACAGTAACACAACTTAACTGTCATTTGTCCCTGGAAGTATTTGTTTCAAAGTACTTGGTATATGTTGTAAGGCTTTGTAATCTGTACTCCCTGGGTGGGCAGTCATGATCAGAACATGAGTCTGTAGGTCCAGGTTCTAATCCTATTTCTCTCACTTTCTATGTAAATGAGGTTTATGTATATTAACCTCACGAGTGTCTTTTTGTTAATTGAATATATATTGGCAGTTTTTCACAAGGCTTTTAAAAACACTTTAGTGCCCTTAGAAAGCTCAGGAAAACAGCATGTTTTATACTGAAGACTTAGAAGTTACTTTCATTTAATAAGATATATTAACTTTCCGCCATCTATTTTATGAGATTTTTTTTTGCCTGTATCGTATTGGATGTTTTTATATTGTAATGTGTTCCCTTACCTTAATCAATTTTCAAAGCACAGACTCTGTATTACTTATATAGTGGGCCAATGTACTGGATGAGTAAATGGCCTTGCATACATAGGGAATCACTCTATGGATCGGCTGTTATACAGCAGTCATAAAATACTAACGGTGAGTTTTGGCTTCTTTCTAATATTCTTCTTTGTAATATTTTGTATTTTGACCTGATTCTTTGGAAGTTAGTGATCTCCATGTAGTTTTCAGTTCTCATTATTATATTCTTTTTCTAGAATGGAAGTTCTTTTTTCATTCTTAAAAGGGACTGTGTAGAGTTTGACAGTGTTAACTTACTGTAATATGATTACTCGTATTTACTGCTGGTTTTCTCATGAGTTCCTAGAATATTTTCTTTATTTACTTTTATTTTGATATACAGATGATAGCCTTTCAGCATGTATTATGCAATATAGCTAACACGCATCACTTCTGGATGTTCTTAAATGTCTGTTCTTTGTGAGTACAGATAGTTTTATAACAGATATTTAGAAAACTTTTTTTAATGTATTATTGATGTTTTGATTTTCTCAATGCTATATCTGTTGTACAATCTTAGACTGCCTGTGAATATAGGTTATTCTTTACATACTCTTTTGGATTATATACCATTATATATGTTGTCTATCATGTAGCAATTATTAATGTCCAATATGTATGTAAAAATATGTATAAGATATATTTTTCCTCAGTTGTGAGATAACGGTATGGTTGCTGACCATGGTATGTGTTTTGGAGTCATGGTTAAAAAATACCCTTTAAAGCTAACATAATTTTGCATAAAGTCAGTTCTTATCATAGGGTGTTTGAAACTAGGCTACCCTGAAATTAGTTTGAATTGCACGTGACCACTACATCATTGCTGAGGAATCCTGTTTGTTATTTTAGAAGGTTGAAGGTCATGTTTAGGAAGTATCATAAATGTGTTCAGTATAACTTTTTGTGTAATGTTAGTTTTCAACATGAAACATTTATTTTATAACTAATAAATAGGGTAACTGATTTTTTTATATTTCGTAGATCGCTCTCCTTCATATGTGATCAAGAAATTAAAACCAACAAAAACCAGTAATACAGGTGGAGTATTCCAAACACTGCTGTTCAGGGAAATCCGGGAACATATGCATGACTTTGTGTGTCAGCAGCAAGATGATGAAAGAAGTTCCAACAGAATACCTATAACTCATAAAAAACATCGCACCGATAGACAAGAACAACATGGTAAAAAGCATGCCGCTGGAAATGAACCTGTTGAAAACAGGCTTGGACTAAGGTTTCAGTCACTTCTGGCTGATATGCGGATATTTCAAACTGAAGGGAAAATTGATGAATGCAGTCTAGCCGAAAAGTCAATTAATAATACTTCCTTTGTTTTTCCACTTAAAAAAGGCTTTTCTAGTGTCCAAGCTAACGTTTCTACTATATGTGGAAATGATTCTAGGCATCCTTCAACACTGACAAAAGACCTAAAAGCATGCAGGAAAAATTTCTACAAATGTACTGAGTGCGGCAAAGAGTTTAGTGTGCGTTCAAGCCTAACTAGCCATCAGTTAATTCATACGGGAGAGAAACCTTACAAATGTTGTGATTGTGGCAAAGCCTTTGCTGTACGTTCACGCCTTACTACACATCAAGTTATTCATACTGGAGAGAAACCTTACAAATGTAATAAATGTGGCAAGGTCTTTAGTCAGAAATCACACCTTGCATGTCATCAGAGAATTCATACAGGAGACAAGCCATACAAATGTAATGCATGTGGCAAGGTCTTCAGTGCACGTTTCACCCTCACTAGCCATCAGTTAATCCATTCTGGAGAGAAACCTTACAAATGTAATGAGTGTGGCAAGGTCTTTAGTGCACGTTTCACCCTCACTAGCCATCAGTTAATTCATACTGGAGAAAAACCTTACATATGTAATGAGTGTGGCAAGGTTTTTCGTTACAAATCATACCTTGCAAATCATCAGAGAATTCATACTGGAGAAAAACCTTACAAATGTAATGAATGTGGCAAGGCATTTAGTCAAAAATTAACCCTTTCTCAGCATCAGAGAATCCATACTGGAGAGAAACCTTATACATGTAATGAGTGTGGAAAAGCCTTTATTGTGCGTTCACGCCTAACTAGACATCAAGTGATTCATAGCGGAGAAAAACCTTACAAATGTAATGAGTGTGGCAAGGTTTTCAGTAAAAAATCAAACCATGCACGTCATCAAAACATCCATACTGGTGAAAGACCTCACAAATGTAATGAGTGTGGCAAGGTCTTTAGTCAGAAATCACACCTTGCATATCATCAGAGAATTCATACAGGAGACAAACCATAAAAATGCAACTAGTGTTCCATGGTCTTTAGTGTACATTCTTCCCTGACTAGACATCAGTTATTTTATACTGGAGAGAAAGCTTGCAAGTATAATGAGTGTGGCAAGGTCTTTAGTCACACTTTGCACTGTGCAAGACATCTGAGAATACTTACTAGAGAGAAACATTAAAAATGAATTGAGTGGCAAACCCTCCTATGTGAGTTCAACGTAATTTACCCTCAGATACTCCATAAATGTGAGAGACCTTAGAAATATACTGGATCTAGTGAGGCTTTTAGGTATTAAACTCAAGATTTACCAAAATAATTTATACTTGCCAATGCCATGAATATGGCAAAATATTAAATTAGAGCTCAGTTTTTACTAGCTAAGAATATATATCTTCATGAGAAACTGGACAAATTAATGTGTGGCAGTGTTTTTACTCAAAGATCAAGGATTGAAAAATATTGGAGTGATTCCTTACAATTGCAGTGAATATGGCAAAGCCATTAGAGTTCAGGTATTATGCGAGAACAGAGACGCCACAGTGAAGAGAAATTATGGAAATATATGTGACAGAGTCTTTAACTAGGCCTCACAATTGACTAGATATCAGAATTTACATCTTTGAGAAACCACAGAATATTAATGTGTGTGTCAATGCTTTTACCCAAAAAGTAAAAGTGGGACATCATACGGTTCATTTTGGAGAGTAACCTTACAAATGTAGTGAATGTCATAAAGCTTTACATCAAATGTCTGCACCTTCAGAGTAATGACAGAATATACTACTACACCGAATGTGGAAATCTAAGCAATAGGGTGTCCTCAGGATTCACCCAAGAATTCATATAAATTTAATGAATGTAGTGAAAACTTTAACCAGTTATCACAACTGACAATACAGTCAAGAATCCATACTAGCAATAAGTAAGCCTCCACTTTTCTGAGGTTAACCTGAGACATTACAGCCTGCAGAAAAATTACAAGTCAAACTGTCTTAAAACTCAGGAAATGCCATATATCGCAAGAACAAACAGGTCTTAGTATTTTTAATATTTAGTTATCTACATATTCTTAAAAAGATTTCGTGACTGAGTTTTAACGCAAAGTTAAAAGTTTGCTGAATTTATGCTTTTCGGTCTTTCGTGCTGGTCTTTGGCATGCAATCAATACAATCAAAGGACCTACTTCATTAGCATGGTTCATTCATATCCATGTCCCCTAGAAAACAAGGACACTGAATATCAATTTCATTAATGTATGAATTAGAATCAGGGAAGGCAGAAAATGACATAAAACTATGTTTTAAATCTTCATACTTGCTAGCTTCAGGGTGCCCATCTCTAGACAGGCCACCGTCGGTCATAGGAAGGCAGGCTCCATGAGCTGACCCTTAAACAGAGCAGATCTGGACATGAAGGGACTCGGCTTGTCAAGGGAGGAGAGTGATAGTAGTAGAAATAATGCAGAAAAAATGGTGGTGACTTTCTCCATTGAATGGGAATAACTATAGCATATCAAAAATTAATGGAAATTTTGTCCTATTTTTGGAAATTGTAGACAGCAGGTACCTGAGATGGGAACTTCATCCAAAGAATCAGAATAGTGTGTGGGTACATACGGTTCTCACTGAAGTGCTGGCATTACCTTTTGCGAATTTCATTTGAGAATATATCGTAGAGCTCATGTTTTAATGAATAAAATTTAATTCTTTTTGTAATCCGAAAGAATCCTGTTTTTGTAGCAACACAGTTTTATCACATTTTTATAGGGACTTTATAACATAAACGAGCAATATGCCGCTGGGTTCTCAAGGTCAAAGGAATCTGTAACAATTTTCTTTCATGATGAGATCAAAGAATATACAATTCAGTAGATCTATACACATAATATGCCCCTGGGTTATTCTCTCCACACTCTGTCCTATGCCTTTTATAATCAAAATAGTTTGGCAGTCAACTCCAGACCCTAACCTCTAAAACCTGCCCACCTTCGTGAATATACATCATAGGGTTATATTTATGTCTCATTTCTACCCAAATACAACCTATGGCTCACTCTTTGATTTATATGAAGTGAAAGTAGAAATATAGTTAGAATGTGGTAAAATTAGGAAATCAAAGAAAATTTCAGAAAGTAAAGATAAATCTCTTGAGCTTGGAGCACCCAGTGAAATAATTTAGGTGAAAGATATACAATGGGAACGTTTTTTTTCTTTGGGAAACTAAAAATTTCATATATTGCCTCCCAAAATTTTTTTGTTTTTAATTTGTACTTCTGGACATTCGTTGGAACAGGATGGAATCTTGTCCAAACATTGGTTTGTATATTGGTACTGATGATGTCAAAACACTAAAATGTTAAGAGATTATGTGTTACATAAGAAAGCCAACTTTCTGAGAGTTTTGTCATGGCCTCTTTGATGTCAAGCAAATCATACTCAAAACTGTAGGTCAATTTAATTTGAGCTTAAATGCTAACGAGTTAAACTGTGAATCACAACAGTCAGTGAAGATCACACTGCAGTATTTCAGCAGTGCCCAGGTCACTGTGGTGTTCGGACATCTCTTCACATGCTCGACCCACTTGTCAGGCTCATTCTTTGTACCCTGCAGTTTTTACCCTGCAGGAGCCTTTTTCGCAAGTTCACCATTTAACCTAACTCTTCATCCAGCCTCCAAATTAAGTGGTTAAAGACTCATCTAATTCCTTCCTGCTGCCAAGATTGTAGGCTCCACTCTGGTTGTAACAATAAAAATGTCTTCCAATTTTTACAAATCATTTCTAGGAGGGATGTGACCACTCCATCCAGGTAGAGTTCAGGAAAGCAACAGATAACAAGCCATGTTGTTTTCAACTGCATATGACAATAGTACAATAAAGTCCTGATGTCAGAATAAAGGAACTAAGTTGTAGGCAGGATTGAAAGGTTGTAACAGTGTCTCTAACTGGTAGGAGTTACTATAAAGAAATACTTTGAGTATTAAGGACAAGTTAAAATTCAAAAGCATGACAAAGTGTGAGGGAAGAACATGGCCTAATGTCCTTTGATGTAAGCTGCCAGTTGATTAAAATCACTCCCAGGCAATGGCTCCCTTTACACAAAGTGGAAACTACAATTGTGGCTCTCCTAGCAAGGCCTGAGAAGCATGAAGACCCTGAAATAAATCTAAAGCTCTAGGCGTGTCTTGCTAAATTTGTGGATGCAGCTCATGGAACATGGAGCTGTTTGCTATCATAAAGTGCTGTTATTGCTGTTTGGGAAATGCAAGTTAAAATCAATGAGATACCACCTCATACCTGTTAGAATGGCTGTCATCAATTGATCAAGTAAGTATTGGAGAGGTTCTTGAAAGGAAAAAAACCTTATACACCACTGATGAAATGTAAATAGATGCAGGCACTGGAAAACAGTATGGAAGTTCCTCAAAATAAGAACTGTATTACCTTAAGTCCCAGCAATCCCTTTTCTGGGTATTTACCCCCAAAACTTGAAAACATTTATCTGCAAATATATATGCACCCTGAGTTCATAGCATTATTCATGGTGAACAAGACATGGCAACAACCGAAGTGTTCTTAAAGATGATTGGTTAAAGAAGAGGTGGTGCATGTATACAATAGAATATTACTCAGCCATTAGAAAAAATTAAATACTGCCATCTGTGACAGCATGGATAGATCTTAGATTATCATGCTAAGTGAAATGAGTCAGAAAAAGTTGAGGGCCATATGATTTCATGAGATATAAAACTGAAAGCAATAAACAGACTTATGGACTTGGACAGAGGATTAGTGGTTACCAGAGTGAAGAGGGGGCTGGGGGAGGTAAATGGAGTAAAGGGGTCAAATATGTGGTGATAGAAGGAAATTAAACTTCAGGTGGTGAACACACAATGCAATACACATATGACATTGAATTGTGTACTTGAAACCCATACGATTTTGTTAACCAATATCACTCCAATAATTTTAATTTTTAAAAAGTGCTGTGTTTTTATATACTGTTATACTGTTGAGAGTTCTACAAACTTGTTCTATAAAAAACTGACCGGATAGACTTAGAGCGATCATGGGAACTATAAGAGAAGGAAGTCTCTGGGGGAAAGCCGCTTCTTTCACGAGGCAGGCATTGTTTTGAATACTCTATTAGATATGACTAGGTAACATTAGGAACAAGAAACAAGGACTAGATATCCTTTTGTAGAAGAACTGAGTCCAGGAAGGCTTATTTCTCCTTCCCGCCTCCATGGAATAGGACCCAACTCCATTTTGGCCAGCAAGATCGTGCTGTGGACTGGAGACTACGGGGTACTGCCTTTCTTTTTCTTTTCTGAATTGGCTTATTTGGGGTGTTACTTCTGTATTCCACAAATTCTTGTGATTGAAGTCATGTGTAGGTAGGACCTTTTAACTTTTCCTTTGTGACAGAAGTAAATATATTTCATGTGAACAAAGGAAGGGCACATTATTGATGATGGAAGCTGCATGTATAGTATTTCCAAATATCCTCATGTGAGCTTAGTCATTTCTGGCCTTTGATATTAAACCTGACTTCTTCACTTAGGCAACCATTCCTACCTTAGAAGATTGTGCTTTATACCAACTTTACGGCAAGCTTTGGCTTTGTGACTTTTTTGTAACTTCCTTTGCCAGTTTGGTGTGAGTGGAGATGGCATATTTAAATTTTGAATGGAAGCTTTAAACATCTTTGTTTGCTTCGAACCCTGTCTTCTATCTGCTATAGTCCGGACAGACTGAAATCTTACCCTGAATCGAATTATGGAGCCAACCAAGAGATGAATAATGATAGATATAATACAAGGAAGAAACAAAGGTTTGTTGTTACAAGTCAAAGAGAATTCAAAAATATGTGTTACCGCAGCTAAATTTTCAGGAAGCTGACTGGCATTCTGACAAAGACTTTTTTTTCTTTCTCTGTACCCACCTGAACCTGAACCTCCCAAAGTCAAGGTTACATATAGAAGTCCTTTACCCTCAGAATTGTACCACCTTTAAAATCTTTATTACCCTCATTCCTTCCATTTTATATTTTCTATTTCCATTAGAATATCTGTTCATTTTAAATTCATCTAGCAATATATTGCCTTTCATTGTGTAACTGCTCTCACTGGACTGTATTCTCAGTTACCACGTTTTCGACTGGTTTATCGGAATTAAACTTCTGTAAGTGACCTTAAGCACCTTGTCCTTGTTCACCAAGCTGCCTTGAACTACACAAGTGTCAGAACCAATGAGCTGTTTTGAACCGAAGGTGTTTGGTGAAACGAGTATCTGTTTTTGAAGGGTGCTCTTTTTAATTTCTGCTTTAGTGGCAAATAGTTAATGTTGATATGTTCTCTTTCATTATCGTTGAATGTAGATTACATTCTAATTCTTACCCTAATTCATTGTCTTAAGGTTAGTCACAAGTATGTTACTATTTTACCAATATTTGAGAATTTTCGAGAGCTTTTCCTGTTACTGCTTTCTTAATTTTATTCCGATCATAGACATATTTTGTGTGATTGAATTTTTTTCAAATTCATCAAGATGTTTGATGGACCAGAATATGGTTTATGTTGGTATGGTACTATGTGCATTTATAAGTTGTGTATAATTTTCTTGGTAGGTGGAGTGTTTTTAAGAAGGACAATCTATTTTTTTTTCTCCTGTATAGGGAAAAATACAGGTTTTTTTTTCTATGTCCTCTTTACTCTCACATTACCCCACACTCAGCCAGAACACTTCACTTCTGACATTTCTGGTCATCAAACAATATGGAGGTTTCCCTCCACACCAAGTAATTTTCTAGGGCACTATCTGGGTGTCATACAACTTAATGCAGTTCTGACACCATCACTCCAGGTATGGCATCAGATTTCATTGGTTAAAGGCTCAATCTCACAAGACTTCCCCACCATAAACACAAACGTCAGATTCCCAGTCAGAACTCAAAGTTATCACTTTTGGTTCTGAGTAACTGGCTATAAACTGGAGGTTTCAACAACCTATTCTTTGGGTTCAATTTATTTGCTAGATCAGCTGACAGAGCTCCAGTTTATTAAAGGATATGAACAATAAATGTGAACTGTCAGATGATGACATACATAGGGCCAGATGTAGCAGATTTCTGAGCACAGGAGCTTCTGTTCCCCCTGGAGGTGGAGTATGTCACCCTCCTGATGTGGTTGTGTTCACCCACCTGGAAGTCTTTGAACTCCCTACTATTGGGATTTTATGGAGGTTTCCTCATGTAGGCATGATCAATAAGTAACTTCTTTCCTAGCAGTTCTTTCTTTTCTGGAGTGTAGGGGTGAGCCTGAAAAATTCCAAACTTCTAATCATGTTGTGATCTTTCTGGTCACCAGTCCCCATCCAGAAAGCCTACCTAGAGTCACCTCAGTAGAACAAAAGATGCTCTAATACTCTTTATCATTTAGGAAATCACAAGGATTTTAGGAATTCTGTGTCAGGAACCAGGGGCAGAGACTAATCTAGTTTAATAAATGTCAATTTATTAAATCAATTTATTAAATCTATCAATTAGAATTGATAGAATGGATAGAAGCTTCTAGGTATTTATTTTCTGTCTTCTTGTTCTATTATTGAGAGGCAGTCTATGGAAATCTCTCAACATATGTGTGAATTGGGTTTTTTCTCATTGTTAGCATGTCAGTTATTTTTAGGGGTTTTGAAGTTCTGCTGCTAGGGAAATAGTTTATGATTGTCGATTCCATGTAATGAATTTATCTCTGTATGATTTTCAAATAAATTTTATTATTCTCATAGTATTTGTTCTCTAATCCACTTTGATCTTAATATAGCTTACTCTATTTTGAATAGTATCCATATGATTTATCTTTTTGCAGACTTCTGTGATTTTTATTTTTATTTTTCATTGTTTAGGTTTGTTTTCCTCCTACCTTTAAATTTTAAAAATATTGAATCATGTATTTTTCTAAGAGTGTTTATAGATTAGTATTTTTAACCTTCCAAACATGATGAGAACTTTGAGCGCTTTACCCCCACCACCTCCACCTACAATCTTGTTACTGCATTTAAAATTTTTTTATGCCCTCCCTTTGTTGTAATACCATTTTTATTTATTTTATTGGATTTGATTTTTTAATTCCCATTCCCCATCCCCTCACATTGGGCAACTGTCAACTTGTTCTTCTCGTATCTTTACATATGTTTATGTTGTTTTTATTTATTCTTGTACATCCCACCCTATTAAACAAAAGCTATTTTCTATCTAAACTGTGAGACTCTTGTAAAACTTGCACTCAGAACATTCCCTTTAAAGTAGTAATCTTTCCTATGTCGTCTTTTTAAATTCTGATTTGTAAAAAAATTAATAATGGTAAATATTATCTGTTCCCATGTGTGGTTAAAAA